AGCACTAAGTCCCTTCCCCGTCCACCTTTACTCTTTTCTTTACAATAAGGCTTTCAAATAAATCATGGTTGTACGGCAGTGAAGCATCGGTGTTGAACACTAATGTCATTCTGTTGACAATGATGATGAATTAAACACTTGATTGACAAATCATTGGCATAAAACAACAGCTGTGCCCTGTGAACAACCGTACATGGCTTTGTATGACTAATGACCAGATTAATGTCATTCTGTTGACAATGATGATGAACTAAACACTTGATTGACAAATCATTGGCATAAAACAACAGCTGTGCCCTGTGAACAACCGTACATGGCTTTGTATGACTAATTGACCAGATTTGACAAATCAGGTTCGTTATCTCACCAGGGTCACCAAACTGGTAGTGGGAACGATATAGCTGAAACGATTCCTAAGTATGACACACATTGCCTCAAATTTAAAAGAAAAAGCATATAAATTCAGCGTTGAGTCGAGCCGGGATACAAAGCAGAATCGACCAACAATTGGTTTTTTAGCTGATAGGCTTTATTTTTTAAACAATTCAGTAGTTCCGTTTTAATTTAAGTTCACGTTTCTTAGTTTCAGTCCGGTTACCACCCCAATGTACATTGTGCCACACCAAGTAAACGAACTATTCCGGATATTCTCGGTTAAAGTTTACAACCGAATGGCAGGTTGACATTTTTGCACTGGAATTCGGAGCAATGATTTCTTCAAGGTGATAAGATGTGGAATACCGCCTGTTGATAGCGTGTCTAAGAGTGCATACATCTGATTTATCTACATCTCAGGAATGGGAAACTTCCCTGTGCGAACGATAGGTGCGTATCCTCGCACAGTCTCTGGCAAGCACACGTGAAGAGAAAACTCCCGTGAGGCACCTTTGCGTAAAATGATTTAATGGAAATGAGCCGTGTCATCGGGCAGGCATTTGCGAATTCCGATTGATGAAACCCGCTGAGAATCTGTGTTTATTGGTTGCGATGAATTGTTGGACTGAATGTGGTGCGGTGGTTGTCTCAGTGTGTTGCGTCAACTTATTCTTTCTTTGTCAGTCAAGACTTGTCTGTTTGCATCCCTAATCTTGACAGGTTTAATGCCATTCCAGACGTACAAACGTACGTGAAAGGTTCACGGTTTCTGCAGGTCCGATGTGCGATATTGTAGGTGTTTCTGTTTTATGGAAATGTACGCTGGACGTTTTTGTTAGAAAACTACACCGGTAGATCGTTCACCGCCATCAAACATCTTTACCTGCTTCTCAAAGAAGTGTACATTCGAGTAAACCATACGGTGACAAGATGAGTTATCATTCGTTTGTCACTTTTGTTCGATGGAGCGTACTGTGAAACCCCTTGCTGACTAGTGTAGTGTTATGGCACAACGAGATCAAAAGTAGCCTGCGTCGAAACGATCGGTTGAATCACACCGAGGACACACTTTGAAGAATCTGGCGGACAGTAAGCTCCCCCTTTTTAGGAGGTCGTCTTGCACCACAAATACATTCTTCGCTTCGGAATCCTCCGGACGGAGAACGCCCGATGTGAAGCCCAGATTAAAGGATAAATGGAACACGACCGCGTCAATGATTTCCGGGGGTGAGATGGACCAAGTGGTTAGAACTCAAATTTACTGACTGGAAGGTCCGTGGTTCGAACCTGATCTCTGCCTCTCCACTTCCTCTGTCTAGGCTTGGGTGACTTGGCGGTATCCCAGACATTGTACTTTCTTCTTGTAGCATGGCAGCTAGGTACCGAAAGAGTGCTACAAGTGAGCGATTTATTATTTATATTTTACAGTAGTTTTTCAGTAGGTCTGTTGTCTCTAGTCGGCACCAAAAAACAAGTTTTCCAATTCGCCCTTCTGGCCAATCAGAGAGGCTATAGGGCATCGCTATCAATGAGCAACGGATCATCAAGAATTTTGCCAGGTCGGGCCATGCAGTTCAAACCTATATATCATCAGAGTAAAATGGCTGGACGCGGTAGACGCTGGCCGTCCAGCTAGCGTCTTCCCCTTGGATTTCCACAAAGCTTTAAATCTGGCACCCCGCCATCTTTCGCAGAATTATCGACTGCGGGTTTCAAAGTTGCCTATTGGATAGCAGAGTTTATCATCCACTGAACCATTATCTTGAGGTTTACCGAATGTAATTCGCATACAGTGCATCGCCGTAATGGTGTCTTACGTGGCTTCATGTTACGTCCGCATTAATTGAACACGCCCTGCATATGCAGGTGATCTCGAACTACAGAGGGCGATCACGTATGGAGTGGATTACTGACAAAACTCTTCGAAGACCTTCGAAAACTGGTCAGATAGTTGGTCCTCCCGGTTAAATGTTGTAAAACTTCATGCTTTACAACTAAAAAGTTCCATTATTAGCAAATTGTCTACTTTAGGTGAAAGCGGTGCAATCTACCTTACGGATCATGATTACACTTGATCTGAAGTCACTCATTTCAAGGTGCTGCCAGGTATCAATGGGTGATTTAGAGACCCTTTGATCAACTTACCCAATTGTCTTCAACAGAACAAAAATTAACTACAGATTACTTCTTCTGAATCATTTGGTGACTCTGCCATCGTGGGCGTCTATTGTGCGCGATAAAATTCCTGAGGATTTGGTGCCTACAAACTTCGGAACAAGAGTGTAGAAGAATGCTTTATGAGCAGGTTCAAGTGAAACTAGTGAGATCTGTCCTGATTGGTCAATCACTCAGAATCAGGAGCGGATGCATAGGAGTTGACCTTGGGCACAGTGGAATTAAGCAGATTCCTCCAAAGGGTGACGGAATCTGTGCCATGGCAGAGATCGTCACAAACGGTCCCATTGTCATCAGCATATGGAGACAACAAAACAAAGTGTGCAAAGATTTCCCTAACCCTGGCCCTGTGTATGAAGCTGAGAAACTGAAGGGTTTTTTAACTGAGGGGGGGGGGCTGTATCACGTCACTAGTCGGGATCGTGAAGTACACTATTCAACCCTAGCCAAGGGGACATCTCCTTTCACATTTAGTTAGTGACCATTTTCGTTTTCTAAGGTTAGAATGACATTGAAAACCGAACAAGTCGTTTGTTCCATACTTTACAGTGAGGTCTTACAAGCATACTATGCAACCAGTGACAAGTCTATTAACTATCTTCAGATCTGGCAGTGTTCCGAGCCGTTGGCGAGCGTCCGGGGTTCAAATCCCGACACGGCCATTGGATATGCACTGATGATGAGCTCTAATAAGAGCAAAACTCGAGTCCAGTGCTTCCCTTTGGTGTGGACTCACTGAAATAATTACGCCAGAACAGGAACACGGCCGTTTAAACAAAAAATGGTGTGGCTATGAATCATGATGAAGTTTTGGATTAGCTAGGTGACAAATACACCTTCTCCTACCTTCCCAAGAGCATGGAAATCTGGCTAGCTGTATCAGTGGGGTGATGATCTTTCACGATTTACCCGCCCCTACTTTTGTTTAGCACTACTGCCAACGCGCTGATCTAATCATCTGCCATGGGATCATGCTCCTGTGAAAGATCAAGCATAACCGTTAAGGCTATCCGTAGGAGATCCATAAAAGTTCTAACTGATTCCTGGCACATTTGGTCAAGGTCGCATGACTTACGGGAGCTAAGCATCTGGAAGACATTCATGAAAGTCCGGATGTGAACAGCAACCTCCTGTATATAACTCCGTTGAAGCCTCACGACTGAATAACGAAACCTGCGTTAAGTAGAGAGCAAATCTTGCCAAAAATACCTCATTGAGATGTCAGTCCTTCCACTGCCCCGTTTGAGGTAGAAGGATAGGCTAGTTGCCAGAGTTGAATTGGGCTTGAGCGTAATCAGCCTTTTGTACCGCCTCAGCTGTCTTGATATCCGGACTATCATGCTCTACCCTGGGACTTTGGGTTTGTGGTGTCTGTAATCCGTTGTCACATTTACCATTCTTCCTGAACTTAAACCACACTTTGTAACTGTCGTTCACATTGTATCGTGACATTTGTTTTAATGTTACGAATACACAATTTTTCGGTGCGACCTGCTGACTTCTCGCTGAACGGGTGTATTTACGCCCCGTTGAACTGTTTGTAGACTGTTGAACTAGTGTGACTAAATCTCTGTGTTTGTGTCAACTGTTGAACGTCACAACAAATCCCTGTGACATTTTTTTTAGCCCTGAATAATCTTCCTACCGTGGAATATGTCACGCACGCGGAATCATCTGTGGGAAATTCCGACAAGTGAATATTTCCTTTCACAGCCAGTTACTGCATTTGGATCAGTGTAGTGGACTATTGGATCTACACATTCGTGAGTCCCCATTTGACGACTCATTCTTTTCCTATCGTGATTTTGTGATTTTGTATTGGTTACTTTGCTTGTTAATTTATCCGAACACGCTGGTAAAGTCCTAGTCCGCTACAGGTTGACCTCAAGGCCCTCAAAGCCCTCAAAGCTTTCGGTCTGGCATTGTAGACATTCTGTGTGTCCAGGACTTGCAGAAAATCTAACTTCGCTTCCTATTTGAAGCTTTTTCGAGACAAGCGGCCTCACAAGATTCTTACGTTTGTCGTGAATGAAGTGCAACGGTCAGTGCGAACAAACGGAGTTAACGTGCTTGAAATACAACCTGAACGGAAAGGCTTCTGGCCACCAGCTGACTTAGTGGATTAAAGTGCTGACGATAAAGTGAGTGTTCCCTAAAATCCACACGCAAAAATTAAGAAAAAACATTAGGAGCCAAGTAATTATATCTTTGAAAAACTATATAGTTTCTTGAAAGTATCAACTTTTCAAAAATTCATTTGAGTCGCTTGCTTTTGTGCCTTTTGCTTTTTTGCCCTCTTGACTTGACAGGGCGATAGTCATCCTATAGTGGCTTGTGTGAATAATTCGACATTATTTTTTTCTACGTCCCTCTCGGATTTATGCAAGCACATCGAACTTCAGCCTGCCCTCCGCGAAATGTTTTTTCTCTACTGAAGCAGTGAATTCATTGTCTTATGGATGTATGTGAAGCCCTGGTATGTAGAGTAAAAATTACGGCATCAAATTTTTGATGCCTGCCTATTTTATGTTGTTACTTCAGATGTATAACCATCTAAGGTCTCACAGACATCGAGGCTGTTTAGAATTGCGGTGCATCAGGACTTGAATGTCTTTGGGCTTCGCTTTGGTTGCCTTTTAGCTAACCGAGTTGTTCCCGATGTTAATGAAAATTTGGCGGAACGCCCTAAATTATGCCTAGGGATGAGAATTCCTTGCTGCATGACGCACACTTATGGAGAAATTAGGATTGCTGTCAAGTTATCACATGACCATAGACTACTTACTGCTTTTAAGTAGCTAGACAAATAGAGCAGGTTAGTTAACCATCCATTTTAGGATGCCAGTCTCACCGTTTTAGATTTTCTCATACTTAGAGACTCAGACCAGCCTACTCAAACAAAGAGATCTATCGTGATATCACAGTAAACCGGTGCTTGCATAATAAATGAAACTTCTGAATGCCACCAACCCCGTTCCCGGCGTCCATCGTCGAACACCCAGGTTCGAACTTTGATTGGTCGTCGGAGCAGACTCTGCAGAATGTGACAACATATGTTGTTGGAATGGTGTTGTACCCTCTGAAAGCACACTCAGAAAGCCTGCTCTCCACAAAGGTCAGTCATGGTAAGGTCATCGGAATGAAAAGGGATACTTCTTTGGGAAGTCTCATTTCGAAACTGATTGAACAGACAAATTGCCGACCCAACGAAAGGGGGACTCAGCTACCATGTTTATCAGACCATGCAATCCTAATGAATCCATTTGTTTAAGATTGAAAATGGATGAATGGGTGCGAGTACGTTTACCTCGAGTGTATAAATTTCGTTGATGATTTTGTAGTTCATGAAAAATGGTTACAATCACCCCCAATTGACCTGAATCAGCCGTGGAAAGCCCTTGCAACCGTAAACCAAAATTCCATGTTATCCACATGCCCCTTGATCTGTGACAGCGAACTCACTGTCGCTACGATAAGGCAGTATGTGAAAAGTAATGTGATAATCGGGCTGTGTCAGCACCAGTGCTTACCGCCAAAAGTCATGCGTCGCTGTCGGCAAAAAACCTGCATAGAGAAATTCCGGTGCCACTTTCACTATGTCCTGAGGAATCACCTTATCGCGCTTGGTACACAACAGGCGGAGTCGTTTCTCGTAAAGTTAATCAAAAGATATCCTCTTTTAGCTTACTGACAAACCCATAGTAGGTGATTCCGGCATATCAATACACCGTTGGTAACACCTTCCATTGGCGGTGGACAGACAAGCGAAAATGTTGCACGCCCATAAAGAAATCCAAGTTGATTCTGGTCTATACATAACTGTGCGCTCACCACGAAGGACAAAGGCAAATAGGATCGTAAGTACTAGTGTTGATCCCGATGTAACGGACTGCTTACGAAAAGTGGGGTTTTTCAAATTAATCCGGGAGGCCGCAGAGGTTGTCCCATCCTTCACTTGTGTATTGGCATGTGTATCTGTGTGTGAATGTACCCAGCTGATCTAGTTACCCACGCGCTTTCGCGTCCCGCTTGCTAACCCTACCCTGACTTGTTTCCTCATGAGTTCCATGCAGTCGCACCGCCAATCGGAATCACGAGACTTCCGTCGGAGGAGGCGACCGCAGCTCACGCCACTGACCCAGCATCATACCCAATGTTGCATGGTGTGCGGGAGCTAACAGTGAAATGTACCGGTCAGTGACATATTTGTACGTTTGTTGACGCTACGAACATGGACGGTTGAAGCTAATTTTATAAATTCGCTTACCCTTGTGCAAACTGTCCCGTATGCTTTTGCACCCAATTCTTCTCTTTGATATTTGGGACCATCGAACCTACGCGTCACTCGAAGTTCCGTACCGGGAGCCGCCACATTGGGCGTGTCGTGTCAGTGACGCCGCAGATTACGCCAGCATACATTTCAGATGCTTTTATTATTGGTGTTTTTTTATTTTACACCCAACTTGCATCCTTTTCCAGCTGTGCCTCTCTCCAGAAGTAAATCAAATTAAATTTCGCCAACACAATCGGGTTTTTGAAGTTGAGAATTTTATAGGGAATCAGTCTAGTCCGGTTGGGCGTTCTAGTGATGTTTTTCGTAGCATTTTGTTCAGGAGAGTGAATATTCAATGTCAGCAACTACTTCCGATTTGCATGTGAGCACCAGTTTACGAGATGAAGCACAAAATCAAACATGAGCATAAATTGACCGATTTTTTTAACGTTTTTTAACGGTTTTTAAGTAGGCGGGAATGTTTTAGATAAATTCCACTCACGTGGAAAACTGAAAAACGTTTTTATGCGTCATACTCAGAAGAGATGTTAAATAAGATGAGTTTGCGCAACGAACCTTGGTACAACACGGTTTTCTAAGAAGCCCACCTTGCGTTCAGTATAATAATGTAGGACAACTTTTTGCATTATCCGGTAGTGAAGCAGGTGTGCATTTTTATGGATGCTTCCTATTATACACACAGTCAGTTATTAGATAATGCAGTTTCTGGATATCTATATGTGAATAATCAACACAACGGAATCTTTTCTATTGAAAAGAATGACGGTGAATAGCTGAGAAACGTCGTAAGGCGCAACAGCAGTGCCAGGAAATAAGGCTACCCCTTGCTGTTTATAATGATAACTATACGCGCTTTCGCTTATCTTGGCTACTTATCGCAACTTCTAGGCCGACACCGATGCGTGTCACTGGTCATGAGGCATCAACTACGTATGACAGCCTAATCCCACGGCTAAAGGCGTCCTGCCATACTCACATTTGCACGCGCTGTCGTTTGCCTTAGCTGGTCATCACAGCTGCTAACCCCATACTTGTGCGCGGCGCTGGTTTTGTGGCCTCACCTATACATAATAGCCTAATCAAACTCTCAATGACGGCCCTTCATACTCGTACGTGTTGCCCGTCTGCAACCTCATTCTTAAAAAACAACCACCTGTGGCGGATTAAGTTCTTATTTATTGGTTGCATCGTTGCAAACGTAATAGGAATTCAATCCAGTTCTCGTTTTTTGGAGCCATTCTTATTCGGTAGTGATTTTGAAAAAAATGAATGATCTATAACATAACTTAGGTAAAATTGCACGGAAGCAATACTACTGCAGAGGCAAACCTATCACTTCTTCAAGCAGTCGCATTGTCGATAATGAAAGATCCGTGTGCACACTGATGTCGCGATGTCAAGAGCCAGTGTTCCTACGCATTATTGGACGTAGCAAGGTCAAACAGGGGTCTATACGAAACATTCACAACCTAAAGCGTTAACGACTTGATCTATGGAGCTCAGGGATCCCATGGGTTTCCAAACATGTACCTGTAAATGTAGCTATTGAGTGGCCGGGTATTTATAATCAGATTTACTCCTTTAAAGCAATAACTCCTAGCTTCACCCCACCTGTGCTTGCCGTCACTCATACCTTGTAGCCTACCAGGAGAAACAGCCCTGACAACTCTCCATTCTGCTTCACGAGATCCTTCATGCTGTCCCCCTAACTCGGTGCTCAGCCCCCTGTCCCACATAACGTTTGGGTTCAGACCGTCTATATCCTCTATTCGCTGGTCTACCTGCATTTCTAGGCACACTCGATCAAACGGGAACACATCCAATAAACCATGCTTCATGTATCACCAATCCACACCCTAAAACCCCATGGTGCCAAAGCACACTATCGGCAATTTTAACAAATTCTCAATCGAAACGATTGGCTCGACATTGAAACTTTCAATCATTTAAGCGATATTCACGGAAAATTGAGGAAAAAGCCCGTAAAAGGCCCGTGAAACTGGTTTAAGCTCGTCCAGGTTCTGGCATGTACCCCAGGGTATCATCCTGGCTAGATTAGAGGAGCTACAAAAGGCAGCTATCGGCGGTTTTACCAACGTGGGGGGGACCACCTCCTTCAAAGGTAGAAGGCCCACGCAAACCAGGCTCTCACAAGGCGAAAAAACGTACAAATGAATGGCAGCTCTTGGAACCACCAGAACAGGATGCAGACAAGTATGCCGGCGAGGCTCCTTTGAGGCCTTAAACTCAAACCTACCGTACAGCTAGTAAACGCGCCAACCTCTTTGGCTGCATGCCTATCGACTCCTCACCTTCAGAAGCAGCGAAGATAGTGTTAAAATTCTTGTCCACAAACCTCCTCAGCCTTTTCAACAAACCACGATATTAACCAGTCGGCTTGCTTTGAACACCATCTCCTAATCGCACTCGCAGAGAGGTGGCTTACACCAGATGTCTCTAACGCGGAGATCTCGACAGGTGGCTACTCTGTTTTTCGAGGCCATTCAAAGCGAGGGAGAGCTGGTTGAGTGGATTTATACTTGCGTGCTGCCCTGACCATTTCGAGTGTCCTCTCCGACACCATTCGTTTACCTTTATGCGATCGCTGTGGAGTTAAATCTCGCTACGCAGGTCCGATTCTACCCTCTGGCTGTGGTCAACCATTGCTTTTCGAGTCCCTGGGAGAATGACCGATTTCTTATAAGAACAATTCAGGACCCCTCTTTTGCCGACCACCTTAATCGCTTCCTCCTGGCAAGCGACTTCAACGCTCCAATGGCGTACTGCGCGTGGGACGAAGTGTAATTTTGCAGCAGCGCTGATCAGTGTCGCCCAACAGGGCTATTTAACCCAACATGTCCTCGCACATGTTGTCTACCAGATACAACTCAGGCCAACCACCATGCCTTCTTGGTCTGGTCATCACCAACGGAAGTCACTTCGTTGATCAGGTGATAATAAACGCTCCACAAGGAAGTAGTAAACAATATGTGCTAATGGGCCGGAAACCCCGAACCGCAAATGCGGACTCGATACTTCTGCCGTGCAGCCTCCTCAGGCAGGCGCGTCTTTCTTGAGCGGTTCAAACTGGGACCAGATTGAGTGGAAGACTTACATAGGCTCATTGTCCAGAAAGTTTACGAGGCTTACGCGAAGTCCGTCGAGAAATACCATCACGAAGGTGGATGAACCCAAAAGGGTTCGTTGCCTTATGTACAAGAGGTCGCAACCATGTTTCAGAAAGTTGACTGCAGGAAACAACACGAGCTGGCGTTCCGTAAAATGTGGAACGGTTGGTACTCAGAAATCCAGCTATGGAACAGGGAAAAAACAGCCGCCGTTCCAAACCGCGCCTGGAAAAACGGAAATGTGCTTTTTCAACTGCATGGGACCGTCGCAGAAACACGCCATCCGCGTACTCCTTGAGGGACAGTGACGGGGATCCTCCGAGTGACTCAGTAGTTGTATATAAGTTTCACAGAGAACGATATGCGGGTATATCTCCAGCCCCGGTGCCCTCGTCACATTCATTCTTCTCAAGGTCCAACTACGCTTAGCTTCTAAACGACTTGTTATTCACGGTGGGGGACACAAGCCACACGAATCCGTGGCCAGACGAGGTCCAGTTAAGGATCCTGAAGGAAACATTGTCCACTCTGGCGAAGAATTTCTACCTGATGTTTCGCCAGTCACTTGACGAAGGCAATCTCTACGCTTGGAAGGTAGCGATCGTCACGCCAAAACTGGTAGCAGAATATTGCCCAGCAGCTACAGGCTCAGTGGCCTCACTGACGTGCCATTCTAGGTGGTGAAACCTATTCTGAAATGCGCCAACTTAGATCACCTTACAACCAACAAATTGATATCTCCATCTCAAACCAGATTTCTCCCAAATCGTTTTTGCGCGATGAACAGGCTCGTATTCATGAACAGCTTAACCCAATCCAGCAATGAGGGATTCATTTCGGATGCTATATTTTTCGGTTTCTCAAAAGCGTTCGATGGAGTCCTACACGTGCTACTGATCCAAAGACTCGAGACCAACGGGATTAAAGGAATATTTAACGCTGAATTGAAACGTTCCTATCAGACAGAACATTTTGAGTGAGAGTAGACTCGATCTAGTCTTCTCCGGCGCCGGCCTTTATTGGAGTTCCTCAAATCTCCGTTTTGGGACCACTTCTGTTTCTGATTTACGTCAACGACCTTCCAGATGTTTTGGCAAGTCTATGCCTACTTTTCGCAGAAGACTTGAAATCTTGTAGTTTCAATACCAGTGCCCTCTAAATGGACGCAGACGCTCTAAAGCAGTAGTCGTTGGACTGACACCTTCTCCCGAACGCCAAAAGGCGCGCCCATATTTTATTCGGGAGAGACTAAGCGACGTCTTTCCCTGAATGGTGTGAGCAGACTAGTAGACATCACGGTAATAGATGCTAAAAAGTATTCGGGTACCTAACTCTCATCAAACGGGTTCTTATCACTACATCGGTTCAAAAGGCACTCGTCGATCTACGGCTTATTCGGCGCACCTTATCCCGTATTACTAACATGGACTTCCGAATACTCCATGAGGCCTACGACAGACCACCTCTTGAATCTAACATCTAAGTTGTCCACTCAGGATGCAGTGAGGACGCAACCCTCATTGAAAGTATTCAATGAGCTACCACGAAAACGGTTGTCAGCCTTAAATCCATGGACTATGAAAAGTGCCTCGTTGTGCATGACCTCTTTCTCCATGAGTATTGTCGCCTCAAAGGAGAATTAATACTTACTTATGTCTTGTTTGAACAAGTTTTGGCCAAAAGTTTTTTCCCTGTTGACTTCATTAGCACACGGTAGTGACATGGTAAAATTTTCAATCTCAAAGCGTACATTTCTATGAGGCAAATTATTCATAATTTCGGGTAACTGCTGTGTGTAATAACTTTCCTCCAGCGGCCTCCCACGCTCTATCTAGAACCAAGTCCAAAACACTATTAGACATTTCTTGTACCATTCATCGCACTGGCAAGCTTACTACCTTGCGTTGAGAGCTTAAAAATGAGCGCTACACCCTTTATCACTTGTGCTTTCCAGGTGAACGGCATTCGTTGGATGACAACGACAAAACCGATCCGGGAATATTGGGTGAAAGCTCCGATCATGCAATCCGTGAAAACTCGAATCCTGAGATAGCTAGGTAAAAATCGTTGGGGCCTGGAATTGCAAAGACATTGCAAAGACATTGCAAATGCATCGGTCGAAATTTTCGCCCATGGGGAAAAAACTCCGTCCCCCAGGGCCAAAAAGCCCGAGCAAACCGAGCTCTCACGGAACGAAAAAGCGAAAAGCACCCCCAAAAACCACAATGGCCGGAAGCAGACATCGCCCTAGAGGCCCCCTTGGAACCTGGTGCACAACTACTAAGTCTTCTAACCACCCTGGTCACTCAAATTTCGGCTCCTCACCCTCGGAGGCAGCAGAGGCAGTGTTGAAATGCTTGTCCAAAAACTGCCTCAGCCTTTTCAACAAACTCGGCGATGTTAAACAGTCACCTTGCCTTGAAAAACCGTCCACAATCGCACTCACATAGACCTGGCTCACACCAGATGTCTCTAACGCGGAGATCTCGATAGACGGTTACTCTGTTTTTCCGAGCTGACTCAAAACGAAGGAGGGCTGGTGGGGTTGCTCTGTACTTACATGCGGCCCTACCAATCCCGATTGTCCTCTCTGACACCGACCCTGCACCCTTCTGCGATGCACTGTGGGTCCAAATCCCGCTGCGCGGGTCCGATTCTCTCCTTCTCGGCGTGGTCTACCGTAGCCCTTCGAGTCCCACTGAAGATGACCAATTCTTCACACAAACACTTGGGCAACTCTCCTACAACTATCATTTCACTCACATCCTGCTGGTAGGTGACTTCAACGCCCCAAAGTCCTCGTGGAGTGAACTCCAGCGCGTCGAATCAGGCGGACCTTTTGCAGCAGAGCGCTTGGACCCAACATGTCGTTGCACCCATCAGATACCGCGCAGGCCAACTACCATCCCCCTTGGATTTGGTCATCACCAATGAAAGACACTTCGTTGATCAGGTAACAATTAACGCTCCACTGGGACATAGCGACCACTGTGTGCTGACCTTTGATTTCATCTGCTATTGG